CACTTGTTTTAAATTTTACATTTCTTTGGATTATTGTTAATTTTACAATTTTATTATTTTTATTAGGCAAGACTAGATATGATGTAATTATGTTGTTATGTTGATCATGCTTAGAAAAAACTTATTAATTTTTATTTGACCGGGGGTTGACCGAAGGTTGACCGGGGGTTGACCGAAAGTTGACCGGGGCCGGGGCCGGGGCCGGGGACGGGGACTGTGTGTATAAACCGGGGCTGGGGCCGGGGATTGCAAACCCCGCCCCGTTGCCATCCCTATCGACACCCCACCCATGTTGGTGAATTGCCCCTCCCTACCACCCACGAGGTGAGGTGGTGTTTGGGGTGGGTGGGGGTGGTTTAGTGAAGACGAAGGTAGTGACATTATGGTCGGTGGGGTGGTAGCTGTGGCGACGATAATAGTGGCATGATGGTCGTTAGGGTGGGGGTGAAGAGGGTTAGGAGTGGGTGGTAGCTGTGACGACAACAACAATGACATGATGGTTGGTGGGGTGAGGTTGGGTGGCGGGGTGGTACTTGAAAGACGACAATAGTAGCATGGTGGTCGGGTGGCAGGGTCCGGGGCACCATGCGGGCTAGTTTTGAGTGGGTGGAGATTGGTGACGGGGTGGCAGTTGTGACCCGATGATAATGGCATGGTGGTAAGTGGTGTATTGGGATAGGGGTGGGGGGCAATTGTTGGCGTAGTGTAGTGGTGATGGTGGGGGTGCTAGGAGTGGGGGTATGATAATAGTAGCATGGTTGTGGTTGGGACAAGGGGTGGGCAATGTTGGTTTAATTGGATGAAAATAAATGTAATTCAATTCCTTCACTTATGCCAATGAGTGATGAATTCTTGAATTTGTGGAATTCAATGGAATTCAAATGAGTCCAACATTTTCATTATGTGAACCAAACATAGGGCATTAGAATTTGGTCAAAGGAATTATTCATTCCAATTCCTTCAAAATCCATGAATCAAACAACCCCTAAAGGGAATTTTCAAATAGAGTGAAACCTTCGGCAACATCGTTGAAAGAGATGATTCAAAGCGAGTTTGGGTTAATCCAAGTTTTTCTGCATCCTCTACTTGGTTCGTTCAAAATCAACAACAATTCCATCTCAAATACGCCCAAATTCTAACATTCTTCTTCTTTTGGTTGCCTTCATTGAAGAACCATAACCTAATTTCAACAGGAGAGCAGATGGATTTGAAGAAATGTTGGAGACGAAATTGGTCATGATGGTGGTTATGATGGTTTCTCAGGATATGCCATTCACGATCACCTCCACGATGTCCTTTTACGGGCTTTCTTCGGCTATGACTTTGACAATGGGTCTTCGATTTCCTTCTAAGTTCAACTCATTCATCGTTCTCTTTTTGTTGTTTTGCGATGGAGGAATCTTATTTGTCATTATGGGTGTTCTAGGATCATAACTTTAGATATAATTTGGTATAAAAAATTGGGAGGCTTATTTCAATCCTTTAAATCTCATTTGAGGTCATTTCCTTAAAAGGAACCACTTGAAATGGTTAATTTCGAAAGGGTGCAAGTGGCAGGTCTGTTCCAGATATTTTATAGGCCTAGGGTGTATATTAAATAATGTCCCTCGATAACTACAAAAAGAATCTTCAACAAATCTTTTTATAATAAAAAATAAAGTTTACTATAAGAAATGCTAGTAATTCATAGAACAATTTAATCTTTTCATTTGATTTTTTCTCCAATTTAATCGGTTTCTTTATTTTTGGGCCTTTCTTATTTACTAAATTCTTTTTGCGCTATTAAAAATGGGTATTTTAATGTACAATTTTTTGGGCCAACGATATTATGCTATAAAAAATTTGGGTCTTGCCTCAAAGACTAGGGGTGAGCACGGGTCGGGTCGGGACCAAAAATACAACATCCAATAGGGGTTCGGGTATGAAGAAACCCCCCTGAATATGGCGGATTGGGGATTCGGGCGGGTATCGAAC